GGACACAACATATATAAAGATCAACGAGTTTTACGCTGCTTTCTTCAAGCATTTTTTAACCTTCAAGCAGGAGGCAAACATTAAAACTGCAAAAACTTATTGATGATCTTTCAACTTGAAACTTGGAAAAAGAAATCGTTCTTTAAAGGAGTTTAAAAAGAATGCAATTATTAAAATGCGATCATTAAAACGCAATCATTAATTGATGAAGAAAGAGTTAAGTTCTTTCTTTTTTAATACATTTCACTCAATAATATTTCAATAAATAGATTAGAATTAAACTAAAATTTACAGCATTAAGAAAATTGAGTGATTTTCTCGACACTCGACCTCTCGACATCGTTTGTTTAAATTAGTTTTCTTTTTTCTGTAAATGATTTCCAATTTAGTTTAATATTTAAAAATTTGTATCCCTGGGTTTTCAGGCCTGGCGGATGGATTACAGTAGTTTTGACTGGAACAAGGTTAATCATAAAGTTTCGTCACTTATCCCAATAAAGTTGAAACATTTATTTTGCATTGGCATTTGAAAGAGCTTGTTTACTGATTAAAGTCTAGAAATGCTTTGTAAGTTCAAAGAAATGATCAATTGGGATTAGAGGCAATTAGAGACGGGAAATTGAGCTGTTTACTGCAAGTTTATTCTGGCTTTACCATGTATTTCCACTAGATGTCGACCCTTTTTTATGCAATTCTAAACCTCAGCACAGAAGAAGGTGGATTCAGTTGAAGGTCCTATACTCTTGAAGATCTCTTCAAGTTATCGTGATTCAAGTTATCGCATTCTCTTCAAGTTTCCCGGATTATTTCCCGATTCGAATATATAGTTGAGAGAAGGGTTTTGTGCACAATTCAATTCAATTCTAATTCTCGATTCTATTCTGAAATCGTGACCCAAATGGGCATAGCAATTCTCTGTCAATTTTCTGGCATCAATCAAGCCATAATGCTTTCCTTGTTTTCTCTTTCCATTCTATAGAAATCAGCTTCTGAATCTAATGTTTTAGAATCGTTGAATCGAAGTTCAAACCTGTGACCATTAAACTTTTATTCCACTCGCATTTTCCTTCAAAGTTGAAACATACAAAAATAACCGCTCCATAGAATTTATTATTTCACATTGCCAACCAACCATTTTGGTTTGTTTTTAATATTTCATTGAACTTTTCATTGGATCACAATTCCAAGATTCACCAAAAAAGAAACTGGTAAACAACTAGGATATTTTGAATAGAGAAACTCGTCAAATCAAATGATTTCTGGAATCAATCAAGCCAGAATGCTTTCCTTGTTTCCTCAAAATTACTTCTCGCGTTCTCGAAAGTGAATGATTCTCGAAAAAAGCATTTCCCAACTTTCCCAACTTTTGCCAGGGTTATTTACGATTTCTTGATATTATTGGGTTGGGGAGAATGAGTCGGCGCCGAAAATCAAAAAAATGTCTAAAACTTCTATTCGACTTCGTCAAATAATATGCGTTTGATATGAGTAGAATGGTTAACTAATTCTCTACAAAATGACATTTAAAAGAAAATTCAAACAGCGCCTCCGCTCAAGAAAAAGCCATTTTTTCACAAAAACTAAAAACTGTGATCTAGAAAAAACCATTGGTGGGATCTTCCTGCAAATTTGGCAACTTAAGTAATTGAATGTGCTCTATCTTTTTTATATAAACACCAAAGAAGGTTTATGTGAAAGAAACTGTTCAAATGATGAGTCGGACTCTTTGCCATTTTGACTAGCTGTGTTTGGGAGTCCATAAACTCCACGAAAGAAAAGCTTTGTGGAATCTCTCAAAAGTGATTTTGTAGAGAAATAGTGGATCCTTTTGATGAAACCAAACGTATGTTTAAAGAAGGTTTTATGTGTGCAAAAAGTCCCTTTAAAGTTTGGCGCCGACTCATTCTCCCCAACCCAATATATAGTACTATCCTTTCCTCGTTTTGAATCTCTTTATTCTGAAAATGGGAAAAGATCAGCGTGCTTCTTTATTGCTAATAGTAAACATGATACAATAGTTTACTAAGAACTAATTTTTGGTTTAATATTTAGCGATCTACTTGAGGTCAACATTATAAGCCTCGGCCACTCAATTATTTATTTTAAGTTGAAACTTGTAAGTTCTTAACTTGATCAACTGCATCTTATCTTTTTCTAGCTGTGAATCTCAATCTAAAAGCACACGAGTTCTCGATTTCCTCAACAATTTCACTCTTCAAACTCTCTGACAGTGAAAGTGGGGATTGAAATGTGTAAAGGCTAAAATTGAATTCTGTTTTTTTTCGCCTAAAGCTTTTACCCTGAATGGGCATAGCAATTATCGTTGAATCGAATTTCAAGTTTACAACTATTAAACTTTGATTCCACTCAAACTTCCCTTCAAAGTTGAAACATGCAAAAATAACCGCTCCACAGAATTTATTATTCCAAATTGCCAACCAAATTTTGTTTGTTTTTAATTGAATTTTTAATTAAGCTTGCAATTATTGAGTTCTTTGGCTTTTTAAAAATGGCTTTCCATTCCGGCTCTGGCTTTCCATTCCGTTTTGTCCTCATCCGATTTCGACTTGAGAACTGGTTAACATTGAAATTCTTACTTAGGAATAAAGTTGAAACAGATTTTTCGAAAAATCAAAAAATCATAATTCCTCGAAACTTTAGGAGTTTTAGTTTTGTGCTTAAATTAAAAACACGAAACTCATTTCTATAGGGCTTAAATTGAAACTCACATTTTTAAATGTTAGCTTTATTCGGTGTCAAGAACAAAAAGATTACTGTCACTTTTAGAGAGATTTTGATTTTGATTTTGCTTTTGATTTCAAAAAGAAACCCCGACAAAGAGCAAATTTCCTCGGAGTGACCTTGTGCGGAGAGTTTTTGTCGAGTTTTGCGGCCAGACGCAGGGTACTGTAAGCGTTTTGATTGGATGCAAATCAAAAGTGTTCAAATCTTCGCAATATCAAAGAATTTTGAATCAGCGGACGCAAAAAAATTGGGTCAAAAATTTCAAAGCTTTTATTCATTTATTTGAAACATCTCTTCAGAAAAGTATCGATTTCCATTTTTTTCTTCTCAATGAAAAGATTTTTGTCTTTAAACTGACCCAGATATACGAAAAGCCATAATATTTATTATACGAGAAAAAATACGACGTAGAATCCATATTATACACTGAAGATTACCCATTCCATCAGCTCTTCCTTGCTGTATTCTTTGAAAAATCATTTAGCTTTACTTGCTGTACTTTGTGCTCTTTCAAATCTCGTAAACCCACCCCTTTTGGCGCACTCAATCCTTAGCTTTCCCCTCGTTGCTGTGAGAGAAAAATTGAAGAATTGCAGTAGGCCAGAAAGGGAGTGTTTACAAGATTTGACAGTAGCAAAGTACACCTCGAAGAACAGGGAACAGTAGATTAGTACAAAGTACAAAGTATAAAGTACAAAGTACAAAGTGCAAAGTACAAAGTGCAACGTACAGTACAAGTAGTAAAAAGAACCATTTTGAACCTTCTCAACTCCCTAGCTAGTACTGTTCTTCGAGGTTTACTTTGGTACTGTCAAATCTTGTAAACACCCCTTTCTGGCCTACTTCGAATCAGCATTAAATGTCTCTTCTCTATGCCAAAAAAAAGGAGTTTTTACGAGAATTGAGAGAGCTTAAAGTACCTTAAAGTACCTTGAAGAAATAGTGATTTCAAAGCTTGAATGCCAGAATGTTTCCTTTCATGATCAAGCTTTTCCCATTGAACTAGATTCGAAAGATATTCAGCTGAACGGACTCGAAAAATCGGAACACTTGAATGGTGTTCCAAATTTCGACAAAACCTTTTTTTCGAGAAAAAGAGAAAAAAAAACCCCATTTCTTTCAGTAGAATATGTTTTTTTTCTTTAAAGAAAAAGGTAAAAAAGGTAAAAGACACGCAAAATTTCAAAGATTTCAATCTCCGAACGGAAAAACTTTTCAAGAAAAAATCTTTCTCTGATTTTTCTCAAATGTTCCCGAAAAGGAACGGGAATTTCAAAGAATTTCAAAGAATTTCCAAATTTTTCATTTCAAAAATAAATTAGGGATTTTATGAGGATCAATTTCGAGAGGAATTAGCTTCAATTGAAGACTTGAAGCTATAAGCTAGAAGATAGTCAGCTGTAATACGACATTGGCATACTGTAGACAGACAAAAGACAGACAGACCATCAGACAAAAGTCTCGAATTTTGCAAAAACTTTGGCGAAAATTTTCGAGCGAAAAAAGAGAGTTTCAAGATGAGGGAGATTTCTTTAAAGTTCACAAAGCTAATTCCTCCTCCCCCGGATCGTGCTTTCATCCAGACTATTTAAGGAAACAAATTGCTAGTTTTTTTTTCTATTTCTTCGAGGTACTGATAGATCATTTCAAAAATAAATTAGGGATTTTATGAGTCAATTTCGAGAGTAACAAATTACTATTGTTGTTGTATTGTATCGGAAAAATCGAATGTCATCGGGTTTTCGGGGAATTTTCGGATATGCTTATTTAGAATATCCAATTGAGCTGTTTAGATTCTCTGAATCTTCGCCGCTTCTGGTTTGGCCATTAAAATGGTGTTAAATGAACAAGAAAGATATGATTGATATCCAATACAGCTATTTCGATTCTCTGAATCCTCGCCGCTTCTGTTTGATCATTAAAAGATCCAGCTATATTGAGTGAAAATGACACAAATTTTATTCATGCTAAAATAGTGTTAAATGAACAAGAAAGATATAATTAATATCCAATTGAGCTATTTCTGTTCTCTGAATCCTCGCAGCTTCTGGTTTAAGCTACGTCAACTAATGCGTTGATACATTTCGAAAAAATGATTCATCTTATTAAAATTGAAACATTGTATTTGAGTCTTCAGGTTTTCAAGTCTGGCAGTTGGATTACGATAGTTTTCGCTGGCCCGAGATTAATCATAAGGTCTCGTCACTTATCGCAATAATGTTGAAACATTTATTTTGAAACAAAGAAAACTGTCAAGAATCTCCATAAATATTCGGGTTTTTCTCCAAATATCCCCAGAAACAATCGCGAATGTCGTTGAAATTCTGCAAGCAGAACAAATAATTCATGTAGTCTGACGGGACTCCATAAGTCGTGTTACAGTAAGCCATACACGCTGGGACGACATTTCTGAAAGTGATTCAATGGTGTACTTTGTGCTTCCAAATCCTTGTAATCCACCCCCTTTCTGGCGCACGCAATTCTTCCATTTTCCCTCGTGACACCAAATCGTTTTTGTGCGGAGGAATTAAAGAATTGAGTGCACCAGAAGGGGGTTGTTTACAGGATTTGCGGAGAGCAGTACTCCTTGATGTAGATAAGGTAAGTGTAGATCTCAAAGAGGTAGCTGAGCAAGTTTCAACTTGCTCAACTACCCAGTGATTGTTGTCGAGTTAGTTGTTAGTTGAGCAAGACATCATAAATATCCAAAGTCCAGTAATGTACTTGACGGTAATCAAAGCTGCAAAACAGTACAGGACTACATTAGGGAATCGATTCCAATTCAAATAGGCATAAACTTGAAACTTGAAAAAAACGATGAAACAATAGTTCTTTATTAAATAGAAACCCGAGTATTTAAATAGTTTCAACTTTTGTAAACAAAACTCAACCCTTAAAAAATCTTTAATCTTGAACCATCTGTCCTTGCCTGGCTTACAGACCTTACAACAAGTCTTACAATAGGTTAAAAGATGACCTTACAACAAGCCCTTACAACAAGCCCTTACAACAAGACCTTACAACAAGCCTTACAGATCTTACAATAGGTTAAAAGATGCTTGCAAGAGCTGTAACTGGATATACAGCTGTAGAACTTGAAAGGAAAGGGCAGCTTAGAACCGGGATCTGTGGCTGGGATTCGAGCCCGATTCGAACTCTCGCTTACTGGGCGAACGCTCTACTACATCGGCAATGGGATACCTGTCGGTGAGCTACACCGACAGGTACCCCATTGCCGCTAGGGTAGAGCCTCATGCCTTACTCTGGAACAACCTTGCGGCAACCAAATTGTAGACTTTAACTGGACGAGTACCGTAAGGATTGGATCCCCTTCCTCCCCCTCACCTTCTCTTGCAGCACTCGGTGTGATCGACTCGACTCGAAGCACAATCCCACATGGATTGAACCGTGTCACCCCGGGGTGAACAAGTGTTCAAATAATGGAGTACCTAGAAGTTGTGAATACAGGAAAATTTGTGATCGTTTTTTTGGCTTCTCGCAGATTACATCACTGACTTCCAGTGTTCAAAAAGTTTGTGCCTTTCATTGAAACATTGTATTTAAATTTTTGATTCATTTTAAGAAAAGTATACAATTAAAAACCCGAAGTCGGCTTGAATGCTCAAAACTTTGAAACAGAGAAAATTTGTCTAAATCTCTTATCTCGCACAGTATCGCTGGAATCAAAAGTATTCATCCGCTAAGTCTGCATATCTTTTAGCTTCAAGCTATAAGCTATAAGCTAGAAGATAGTCAGCTGGAACACTTTATTGGCATACTGTAGTCAGACAAAAGTCTTTTTTAATTTTGCAAAAACTTTGGCGAAAATTTTCAAGTTTCAAAATGAGGTAGATTTTCTTAAAGTTCACAAAGCTAATTTCCCCTCGGTTTGTACTTTCATCCAGACTATTTAAGGAAATAAATTGCTAGTTTTTTTTTCTATTTCTTCGAGGTACTGATAGGTCAACAACTACTGATAGGCACTGATACTGATATTAGGTACTGATAGATCAACAATTTTTTTTTTACTTTATTCAGCTGAGCATTTGAATCTGGGTATTAAAATTTGAAAATTTAGATGAACCTAGAAGGTTTGTCAGTTTGTCCGTTTGTCACCACATTTTGTCAGCTGAATACTTTCATTCTAGGGATACTGTAGAATCGATTTAGCTTACAAGGTTTACAAGGTTTAGTTTTTGCTACAAAATAACTTCGCGCTACAGGAATCAGCCAAAAAAAAACTTTAATCTTTTCAAAATCAAAACTTTAATCTTTTCAAAGATTGCGTTTCAAAAAATGAGGCTAAAATGGATGGTTTTCAACAATAATTCGACATGGATCTTCTTACGATTTGTTGTTGTTGTTGTTGTTTTTTTTCATTTAAACCTCACATTGTGTTGGCTGATCGCGTGAAAATCACAGAATTTCCGTTTGCAGTCTTTGTCCGCGTTTTTCTGCCGAGCGCAACACGCCTGAATTTGATTTTTTTATTTTTATAATAAATTTTACAATTTCTAGCTAGGATCGAAATATTTTAAAAACAAAATATTCTATTCTAGATTCTATTCTAGATTCTAGATTCTAGATTCCAGATTCTATATATCTATTCTATATTCTAAAAAAAAAAAAACTTTTGCATGCATAGATTTTTAGCAAAATTTTAGCAAAAAAACAAAGCTTTATGAAAGTTTTGTGTCATGCAAAGAATCGAGATTCTACCTTTGAATGAGTTGAAGTTGAAATTGAAACAATGAAAGTAGCTGGGAACTAGGGCAAGAGAGGCTTTCCCAGCTACTTTTGCTGGAGGTTCGCCATCACTGCAATCTCAACTCACTACCACTCCGCCATCACCTGCAATTGGTGGGGAAGACAGGGTTCTAATGTCGTGGTTTGATTTTTGACTCATCACTTTTAACTCTTTGAAAAAAACTTTAAAACGTATAACTTTTGACAGAGTGCTACGTAGCAAAAAAAAAAAGAAAATGAGCATCATGATAAGCATGAAATTCTGCATCGAATAGCTCATCCCAGCTACTTTCATTTCTCAATTTCAACTTATTCAAAGCAGAATCTCGAAACGAATTGACAACTCAATTAGCAAAAATCAGCAAAACTGATCTTTGAATAGAGTTTTGAATTTGAATAGATTTGTGGGCAGGGCAAACGGGTTTTGCAAACTGGTTGCCCTTTCATTTCACCAAATGTCACCTTAAATCGTTGATTCGCGTCACGTCGACATTCATGAACGATCAAAAAACAGAAAACTAGCAGAATAAAGGAAAATTTCGTAAAAATCATTGATGAATTTGATTTGAAATCTCAGAAATGTTCCTTCTTGGCTCAAATGCTCACATGAGACTTTTCATTGCACAAACACAAATTTACGGTTCAAATGCTCAAATGGGGAAAATGGTTTTGACTGGCGCTTAACAATGGTTCGAGACAACACCGATATTTGACCAATATGCTGTATTTGGAAAGGGGACAAAGGATAATAAAAGCGAAAGGCTTTAAAAACTCATTTTCCTGGATTCATCTTGTCAAAGGTGGCTTAAAGAATCCATGTTTCAACATTCAGCATTTTTCGTTGTAAATTCGCTGTCTAGTTGATTCTCATTTTATTGCTATTTCTTTGGTATAAAGCTTTTCACAGTGCGGATACTCACAAACCGTTACCCAACTCGACTTGGGCAAGGGCTTTAAAGGCTTACAAGAGGAACCTTACAAGAGAAAAGTTACAATATGAGGTCGGTACCAAAAGAAAGGCTTGAGAATGTACGTTCAGAAACTGTTTTCAAAAAGCGCTAATCGGCAAAACGCACAAAAAAGAATGGCTTTTGGAAAGGAGAGGCTTTTCCGCCGGAATCAAAATCACTGTGCCAGAAATTCGAGAAAAGCTTTCATTTTTTCGAAATTCAAATCGCTATAATTTTGCACGTTTTGCCGATTAGCCTTTTTGCAAAACAGTTTCTGAACGTACATTTCCACGCCTTTCTTTTGGTACCTACCTCATATTGTAACTTGGAAGGTTTCCTTGTTAGGCTCACGTAAAAAAACCATCCTATGGCAAGATCCAAAGCATTTTTGATTAGTTCGACTCCTTTCGCTTCCGAGTCGTTAAACGCGAAACATGGGGTAAATCTAAAGATGTTTTTCAATCGATTTGCACTCCTTAGCGAAAAATTTTCCGCATTTTTTCCAAAACCAAAGATTTTACTTTATTTCACCTTCTACTCAATCAAATGAGAAGAAAAATCACAAAGAAAAGCACCACAATTACCCATATTATATCGACAAATGCGCAATCTCCTAGAAAAACGCGGAAACAATAGAAATTAACTTTGAATTTGTGCAAATCATTAAAATGCCTGGCACTAGCCGGTAATATCCCACGGCTAACTCACTTGTGTTACTTCAACAAATATTGATTATGCTTTTTCGGATAGTGCCAATTCGAGTGCTTTCTTTTCTCGAAACTCGTTTCCTAAAACGTGTCCTCTTTCCTCTTTCTACCGTAATCTTGACTCTATCGAATCTGTCAACTTTTTATATATTTCGATATCCTTTGTGAACTCTCACAAAATCAGACAAAAAGTGGATAGATTAGATTAGAAATACGAAGAGAGACCCAATGAAATGAATATGCTGGGCGCCGTAGGCATTCCGTGGTTCGTTCGAGGGACCGACTAAATAACAAAATGAATCGCTTTTTTAATTTTTTACACCTTCTGCCTCTGAAAAAGGATTTAAGTTTTCGTTATCGACAGCTTGTTATGTCTAAAAATGACACGTTATAAAAATAAAAAAAAATAAAAATTTTAAAATTTTTTTTTTTTTTTTTTTTTTTTTTTTTTTTTTTTTTTTTTTTTTTTTTTTTTTTTTTTTTTTTTTTTTTTTTTAAAAAAAAAATTTTTTTTTTTTTTTTTTTTTTTTTTTTTTTTTTTTTTTTTTTTTTTTTTTTTTTTTTTTTTTTTTTTTTTTTTTTTTTTTTTTTTTTTTTGGGGGGGGGGGAAAAATTTTTTTTTTTTTTTTTTTTTTTTTTTTTTTTTTAAAATTTTTTTAATTAAAAAAAAAAAAAAAAAAAAAAGAAGAAAAAATAAATTGGGGGGGTTGGAAATGGTTTTTTGGGGGGGGGGGGGGGGGGGGGGGGGGGGGGGGGGGGGGGGGGGGCGGCGCGCGTAACTTTATAGAATTCTGAAATTCTTTCTAGTTTCACAATTACTCAAAAAAGCATGCCAGTCATTCTCCTCAAACTCGATCTTTTGAGCAAAGTGTCGAGACATTTCATCGTTCACCAAAAACAATCTGTTTACAATTCTTTCAAACTTGACGAAAATATTCGCCGTTAGAAACATAAAAGCTTAACCTGTTACAACCTAACAAAACAATTGCAAACAAAACAAAACAACAAGTTAATTGCATCGACTGAATCTGAATATACCGCACACAAAAAACTACACAATCTGCTTCAATTTGTTCGCTTGTAACACAATCATAAAACATCCGAACAACGCGATGAATAACACCCAAATAGAAGGAGATCGATCAAAAATTGAGCAGAAACAAAGAAGTAAATACTTATTTTGGCTTAATGTTTTCGGCAATGAAACTAATTTGTTTGCTTTTGCTTTTTTGCTTTCTTGACTGCTTGTGTAGCAAGTCGATCGGCCATCTCATTCCCATAAACACCCGAGTGCGCCGGGACTTTCTCGTAAACAACCTGAAAAATCAGCAAAATGACGGGGTTTCATTCCCAAATAGCTGTTGTGCTAATATTTAAATATTTATCAACTTCCAAGGTCTTTTTAAAATTTAAAATAGATATTACCCGAATCGATTGCGTCAACTCGTCCAACCTCTTCATCAATTCGATGTTTTTCACTGGTTCCCCGGAGACCGTTTTCCACCCTAAACCCAAAAATTGTTACTTTGACCATGTTTAAGTTAGTATTAACTTTTAAAACTTAACATTGAGCGTTAAAACTCACCATTCTTTCTCCAACCTTTCACCCATTTAGTCATAGAGTCGATCAGAAACTGTGAATCAGTGCGAACACAAAGCGCATCAAGACCATTCTTCATCGCCTAAATATGAATTAATTGATTACAATCTTGCTAACATAATTTTCAAACTTTAAAAAATATCCTTAAACCAGCCGAAAAATGACGTCTACAATACGGGGGTGTTTCCCCCGTAGAGCCGTCATTTTCTTTTTGCTTTTGTTTTCAAGCATGGAGTTGAAGTATGCAAAGCACCGTATTTATTCTAATAGAAGCACAGCCTTTACTAGAAGCATAGCCTCCAATAGAAGCAATAATCCAGGCCCCTCAAAATCTTTCGAAATCTTGACTTTAGACCCCAATTGTGACCCCTCTATGGAGAGATCTAGACCTCAAACTTCCTAATCGACAGTAAAATTAAAAAGATGGTTTTCAAATAAATTCAAAAATAATTTTTTTGGAAAAAACTCATTAATGGACATAATGGACCAGATGGATTTTTTTTTTGGAAGAATCATCAATGGAATTTTGAAAGGAAAAACTTTGATCTGAAAACGTTTTTTGTACGTTTTGGGCCAAACCCTATCAACTAACATCTCTATACTATATCTAAAAAATAATCTCTGTCCGTCCGTGCAGGGACACTATCCACCGCACACTATCCATGGGTGCAATTTGGACTTCACGCTGAAATTTCCATGGTGGGGTTTTCCAACACAGGGAATTCGTTATGGCAATCCTTTTTACGATTTCTGAAGAGGGGGAGCCACCCATATTTTTGACCTTTTCAATTTTACTGAGGTAGTTGATAGCGCTGATCAGAAATAGTATTTTTGTGTAAAGGTTTGTTCTGAATTTTATCGAGTTTTGAAGTTCTAAAAACGCGTCTTTACTGTACATATTTGGAGGATTACCTTGTTAAAACTCAAAATTAGGTTATTGAAGCCCAAATTTTAAATTCAACCTTTTTAGTTCTATCTTGTTGATTCATGTTGAGTGGTCCTAAAAGCTTTGAGAAATAGTTTTGGTTAAGAGGTCGACTCCTTTACGGTCTCATTTTAAGTTCCTTTTTCTGTGTTGACATCATAGTGAAGTACACTATAGTTACTTAAGGTTAAAAACTCAAAAAACTATGGACAACCTTAAAAACACTCTTATCGTGATTAGCGCTATCGATTACTCTAGAAAAATTAAAAAAGGCAAAAATATAGGTGGCTCCCAATTTTTGGTTCATGTGGTCCCCCTTTACCTACTTTTTTGGTCGGCTATTTTGGGAGATTGAAAAATCAAAGCACATGTGCTTCTATTAGAACAAATACGGGTATGCAAAGCTCGACGCGATTAACGTCGAGACCCCTGTACCAATCAATACCTTCGCTGTGAGGCAACTCAAATTTGCATACTTCAACTACATGCTTGAAAACAAAACAAAAAAGTTTGGGACAGACGGGAATCGAACCCAACACCCCCTTAAGGCAGTCGTTTTGTAGACGGGACACGAACCACCTCGGCCACGCCCTCCCTCTAATAGACCGCCGAGGCAAAAAGGGGGGTGGCTAAGTGGTTTTTCTGGTTTTTTAACAGGTTTTTGATTAAAAACTCATTTTAACCAAAAAGGATGTCCTATCGATAAAAAGTTTACGGTTCACGGAGAGCCGAGATCCAGAGTGTGAAGGACGGACGGACGGACACTTCTCTTTTATATGTCGTAGCCGCTAACGAATGATTCGTTAACGGCTAGCCGCTAACGAATGAAATTTTTCGCTAGCCGTTTACGAATGATTCGTTAACGGCTAGCCGATTACGAATGAAATTTTTGCACTAGATGTCTACGAAATCTTTGTAATTGGCTTCTGCGAACATGGCTAGATTCAAATGAACTTCCCACGTTTTTGGTTTCAAATTTTTTACACAAAAAAAGAAAAGAGAAAAAATTTGATTTTGAAGCGAGCTATTAAAAGTTTTCAAAATACCCCTTTGCTGAAATTGGGTCCTCCGGGACGAGTCCTCCCCATTGTTATCGGTGATTTCGGATTAATTTTCTTTCTGCTCTTTTATTATGCTTTGGTTTCATTATACTTGCTTTATTATATTTGTTTTTTTCAGGATGAATTCATTTCTCAACCAACTTGACGCGTATCAAATTCTGAAAAAGCGAACGCATATACTAACGACGAAAAAATACGATGAAATTGTGAACATATTGATAACAATGTCAAGTGAAAGTGAAAGCGAGAAACGGAAGCGAACGACAGAAGAGGCGAATTGGGCACGTCGTTACTCGATTCAATGTATTGAGCAATCAATGATACTCTACAATCATGGAGACAAAGGAGAGAACGAACAACCAAAACGAGTCGTCAAGAAAGAAGAACTCTTCGATGTTTTGACGTCAACTCACAAAAGGCTAGGACACGCCGGCCGGGACCTGATGTGGAAAGAACTGCGAGGAGATTATCTCAAAGGAAATACTCGAGATTTTTATCAAACTTTGCCCGGAATGTGAATTAAAGAAGGAGACACCAAAAAAAGGAGTTGTTGTGAAGCCGATCATAGCGAAGGAGCAAAATGAACGCTGCCAAGTCGACTTATTAATTGATCTTCAATCGGTTCCGGACGGCGACAACAAGTTTCTGATGGTTTATCACAAATGGTTTATCACAAATGGATGCACGAATGGACGATGTGTGTGCCTCAAAACCAATATGCTCTGCAATAGCCGATGTCATCACAGTAATTCTTGTACCAACAAATAAACAGTTTGTTTTTATGCATTTTAGTTGATGTTTTGTTAGTTATAAATGTTATTATGTTATAAACGTTAATATGTTATAAATGCTAAATGTTATAAATTTTATTTCACTCGTTGTGATTAGTTTGCTGATTTGCGTTTTGCATAAATAGTTTGAAATCAAGGGCTAATTTGAATTGAGCCATGTTCGCAGAAGCCGATTACAAATCGTGCACGGCTAGCAAAAAAATTTCATTCGTAATCGGCTAGCCGTTAACGAATGATTCGTTAGCGGCTACGACATATATATAGTAGATACTTACAATTTCGATAGCTCTAATTACGGCTGTGACCTCTCCTCGATTGTTTGTCTGTTCACCAGTCACCGGTCCACTTTCATTAGCTGGGTGATCAACGTTCCAGAAAACTCCATAACCAGCCTAGAAAGATTGACAAGTTGCTCAGGTCATTACATGAAACTTACCAAAGCTTTTGATCGCTTGTTGTTGTTCGAGCAAGCACCATCCGTGTAAACCACCACGAATCCGGCGGTGTTTCTTTCGTAGCTAAAAGTTTAGCATTGCAAACGATCTTTGAAACTTCAACTTACCCATCCCCAGATTTCGTTGATGCCCGCCGCTCATACTCCTCCACTTTCAGAAACATTTTTTGAATTTTCCTTAAAGAAAGCATTAACAAAAAAAGCAGTTCGAACTTTTTTCCTTTTTGTCACTCTTTTGTACTTGTTTTTTCTTCAGGATGACTTTTGTACAAACTAAAAGCTTTATTGGAAAAATTATATCGACGAAAGCCACCCTTTAGCTGATCATGTTCTCGAATGAAATCAAGCGCTTCCATTTTAGTGCCAAACTTCTTAAACCTAAAGAAAGCTTTCATGCTTGTTGTTATTAAAAAATCTTACTTGGCATTTGCATAGCCATCAACTTGTTTCTTGCACTCGTCCCAAGATGAGTAGATGCCTAAAATAAAAATTTAAACATTTCTAGAAAAAAATGTTTAACTAACCAGTATTCCGTCCATTGGCCACCGCATAGAAGCTGAATCGAGGCGCCATTGCAAAAGAGTCGAGGCGACAAAAACCTAAAAAGTTATATTTACAAACCTTACATCATTGGTATTTTGGTGGTTGGGAGAGGCCACTTTTATCCTGGCTTAGTTGGATCTATTGTTTTGAATGGTTGTATTGATACCTTTTATCTATTCTAGGGTAATCGAATATGCTTAACAGATTGGTGACTATTTTAGCAAGTTTTTGGCAATTCTAGCCCAATATCATGTACTTTAGCCACCAAACGCTACCTCAAAGCTGCTTACACTTGAAAATCAAATAAAAGCGGCAATATGAAACTTGAAAAGTGTTGCAAATGCTCTAAAAGTATAACCATATTTGATTACCCTAGAATAGGTAGATGAAAGGTATCAATACAACCACCCAAAACCACCCAAATTAGATCCAACTAAGCCAAGATAAAAGTGGCCCCTCCCAACCACCAAAGTACCACATCATTCACAAATCCTAGATTCCTTTAATCTTTTAAGGCTAATAAATACAATTTTAAAAAATACCTGGCCTCCGAAAATTCGAAAATTTCCCTTCAAAAGCGATAGCCGATCTAGTGAGATCCTAGATCTCCACTAAAATGGCGTAATTTTTGAGCACAAACTTAAAAAGATTAGTGAAAACAATTGAAACCATAGAAACCAAGTAAAACCAGTAAAAGAACTGCTTAAGTTGCACGTTTTGATATCATTAAAAAATACCATTAAAAGTTTCAATCCGATCACCGAGTCCAGAATTTTGACACTCAATTTTTTTAAAAAAACATTTGAAACTTTAAATAAACATAGAAAGTAAAGAAAACAAAAGAAGTAAAGATTCTGGACCAAAATTGGGCTGAACGAAAGGAAAACTTGCGGCCGGATTACGGTGGTTTTGGCTGAAATTTGGGTGCCTTTTAGGAAACGAATTGGGATGGATGGACCAAACACTAGCAAACCAAGACCACTCACTGAGTTAAAAAAGTTGAAACTCAACTTTTTCAATCCTTTTTTGTACGCTGCTCTTTTTTCCACAGAGGTGTGGCTAATTTTCTCATCAAACAATACCGCACCGCCATTTGCGCATACACACAAAAGCATCTTTTGCGCACACGAACAAAACCCTCATCTGCGCAACGATGAAAGGACGTCATTTGTGCAACGCCTTTTGCGCAGCGTCTTTTGCGCGCACACATTTTCTTTGTTTTATCTGCCACCATCATCAAAGCTTTCTGATTGATTTTATTCCAAGTCGTTAAACGCGAAACATGGGGTAAATCTAAAGATGTTTTTCAATCGATGCACTCCTTAGCGAAAAATTTTCCGCATTTTTTTTCCAAAACCAGATTTTACTTTATTTCACCTTCTACTCAATCAAATGAGAACAAAAATCACAAAGAAAAGCACCACAGTTACCCATATTATATCGACAAATGCGCAATCTCTTAGAAAAACGCGGAAACAATAGAAATTAACTATGAATTTGGGCAAATCATTAAAATGCCTGGCACTAGCCGGTAATATCCCACAGATAGAAAGAGGAAGAGAAACTCAATAAAATGAATAGCGCCAATCGCTTCGCCGACTCCGAAAACCACCGGGTACAAATTCACAGCTGAATATCTTCTTTCTGTGCCATTTACAAAGCAAAAGAGAGATAGGGATGCTCTAGTACCACTTGGCTATGCTTATTTATCTACAGCTCAAAATCCGAACTCAAAGATCCCCTCGGTCGAATCGTGATTTCAGATATCGTCGTCGCCAACGAGAAGCCTGTGAGTCGAGGTCGTCGTCAATCCTCATCCTCAAAGAGTCGCCCCACTCTTCATCGCTGTTGTCTTGATCTAAATTTTGAACATTTAGATATTTAGTACACCATTTTAACAGTAAATTTAGCTTGATAGACAGTTAGAAAGTTGAAACTATTAAAAATAGTGAAGCAATGAAATTTGTTTCAAGTTTTGCACTTGATTTCCTCCAGTACTTCATGCCTTTTACACACTTTCAAAAAAATGCAGTACAAAAGTATTTGGCAAAAATTGGGTGAAAATGAAAACTCAGCTAAATTCCCATCGTAAGTTTCAAATCAATTTGAAAACAAAGCTCGAAAACCAACCTTCTACATACAGCTCGATAAATTCGCTGTCTCGTGGAGATTTCACAGGTAGAGCTGGCACAATTTTAGGTTTTTCCAGTTTAGGCTTTGCAATTGAAAGTGGCGATTTCACAACAACCAGGTCTCCACTTGGAGTTTTGATAATTGATCGCTTTGTTGCTTTTTGAACGACTAAAAATAAAGTTTAAAAAATAAAACTACTGCTTAAAATTAGTCATTTAGATACTAAACAAACAATACCTTTTGCTTGAATATTTTTCCAATTTGGCTTAATTTCCGAATTATTCGGATTCTCGACTTTCTTTCCTTCTTCTCTCAAATCTAGATGATAATCAACTTAATATACAAAAAGACAGCTTTACCTTTGAATTGCTTCCTCGTTGAAGCCTCGCGAATATTTCTCTCTTGCAGCTCCGGGATCTCAAAAGGATCTAAATTGAGCAGGATTTAGTGTTAATGCAAATCTACAGACTATAAAAGTCTGCCTTATAGTAATTAGAAAACCGTCCTCACTTCTTTCAATGACTTGCTGAACTAAGTCTGAAATATCACGCGTTGTATCCAAAAAGCGCAACTCGCTCATTTTGTTCCCTGGTGGTGGCTTTTCGTAGAGCGGATCTTTGCAGGCACGGAGACCAAGTTGGACCTGAAATTTAATGCACTAAAGTAAAATATATTTTCGGACACCTGAAATAAATCCTCCTCTTTCGTTTGAAACATTTTCATCAATGCTTTGACAAGCTCCGGTTTCTTAATCGGATGCTTGCCCACGATCGTCGGATCACTTTGTCGTAGATACTAAACACAACGTGTTAAATACAGATAAAACAATGCTAGTTTTTATTGGTTTTTTCAAAGACGCACTGTACAAATTCTTTCATGGTAAATAGAGACGTCGATCCGTTTGAAGCCGTTGTGAACCCCCTAAAATATATAAATATAAGTAACATAGAAGATTCAAATGAGTTTTTAAAGTATGCATATCTATAAAAATTGACATTTTCAAGAGCTCACCCACAAAATTGAGTAAAACATGCCGATGAGCTGGTCCTCATAGAAAGTGTACACACTCGAGTATGAGTATGGTACGATAAGCGAAAGATCTGGTTGCTCGCAACACTCCAAGTAGAGACATCGAAAGTAGTAAAACTTTGGCGTAATTCGAAGTGTTCCTTGTCTAAAATGGCAAGTTATGGTGAGAATGCAGTACTTTTTAGATTCAACTACATTATTTTTAAGTAATGCTTTAGGCCAAAACCATAAGATTTGAAAAATAAAAAGCTCAAACACTGAAAGCACTCACAATGGCCTTTGTTTCACTTCAAGACTTTTGATAACTCTCTTTTTGTTGATTTGGTGCTGTTGACACGATTTCGTGCTCGCTTCCCGTGCGGAGCCTAAATTTTAATATTTAGCGTTAATACTCAACAAAACTACTGTAATCTAATCTACTATCTAGCTACAGTATGCCGGAAGAAAGTTTTACCTGCAATCCACCGCCAACTCGCTCTGGAGATCGCATTGGCACAAATTTTGAAAGCCACGGTTCCTGAAATTTATTGTCATCAAATAATTTAAGAAACTTGAGAGCGAGAAATTTTAAAAACAGCAAAATTAAATATTTCAAGAAATGAGATCAAACACAGTGATTACCATAAAATCATACAACCAATTTATCCAGGTTAAAAATCCCCGATCAACTCCTTTCCCCGCGTTCTCGACTCTTTAACGTGGCCGGGTCGGTCACGGCGGCGGTCCAATCGAACAGCTTGATCTCCGCGCTAATCGCCACCAATTGTTTTCGTTTTCGTTCGAACTCGGCAATCACTTGTTCCAATTTCTCAGGGACTTTCGGCATCTCGCTTTCACTCATTCGTTTAATGAACTCGTCCGGGTCCATTTTTATCCCAGGTGCCGCTTTCTCGATCCTCAGCCGTATCTCGTACAACTTCTTCAACAGCAACTCGCAATATTCCATCAAGTAGTTGATATACGCGTATTGCTGATTGCTCGGGCGCTTCTCTGAGATCACCTTCATCAGCTGACAGAAGGTTGACGTCTTCGCATTTAACTCATTCACGATCTCTTTCCCAATTGTGCACAACTGCGCAACGTCGTACGTGGCTAAATTGTTGAGAATCTGCTCTGGGTACATCTGCAACTCGTTGCGAAACTTGATCTCTTGTTGTTGCGCCGGTTGTTGTTGGGGTTGCGCCGGTTGTTGTTGTTGCGAGGCGGGCGCGGTCGATCCAACTGAACCCATCGGCGCTGGCGAGTTGTAGCCTTGTGGTGGAGCTCTCGCTTGACCACTTATCGACTGCTGCTGTTGAGGATTTTGCAATGACTGCTGCGGATGAGGATTTTGCAATGACTGCTGCAATTGTTGACCCATTCCCATCGGATATTGTGGCTGTTGTGGCAATGTAGGTTGCTGTTGTTGTGGAGGCATCCCTTGTCCCTAAAGTTGCACAATATATTTGAATAAATATCAAATACGGTTGTTAAAACTTACTGGATTAAACTTTAAACCAAAATCGTATAATTTTAATAAACTTAATGAAAAAAGTTGACCAACACAGTCACAGGAAAAAATTTTCAATTTATGCTAATCCGATACAGTCATTAAGGACCTACCTGTCCTTGATACATTCCCATTGGTGGTTGTTGATGTTGTTGCGGTGGTGGGAGTTGTTGCTGGGGCATTTGACTGTAGAATTGTTGTTGAGGAGGCGGTTGTTGATGAGGTTGTTGCTGTTGTTGCTGGCCATGTGGTGGTTGCTGGGCGCCGTAGGCGTTCCATGGTTCGTTCGAGGGACCGCCTAAATAAAGAAAAATGAATAATTTTTTACACCTTCTGTCTCTGAAAAAGGATTCTAAAACGATTTAAGTTTTCCAAGGTTCAACTTGTCTCGCTGGGACTCGCGATAAAGGTTTAACCGCTTTCTATCTTTAAGCGCTACTGTGCCAAAAAATCTACCTGGCCCATATCCTCTCCCCATACCGGGGGGAATTTGTCCTCCTTGTGGTGGCAGCTGGCCGTGGGGTGGTGGTCCGCCCATTCCGCTCATCGTTTCTGAAATTCTTAGAAAAACCATAGAATTTTTATTTTTGACATCGTTAACTATCAAAATACAATAAAACTGCAATTTTACAGCCCTTTTCTCGACTTTTAACCTTTGCAAAGATTTATTTTCCTGAACAACCGGGAAAACGATCAATCACAAAAGATAACAACAGAGAAATAACTGTACAACGAAAATATCAACAAACTTACCTGTATGACTTAACAATATTAAAAAAATCTAAAAAAGGCTATCCAAAAAATTTTTTCGGTAACTTTAAAAGTTAACTAATGATTTCTTCGATGAAGCCTTTGCCTTCGCAAATCGTTTTTCCAACGCAGGAATGTCGTCAAAACCTTAAGTCAACAATTTTTAAAGATAAAATGGATAAGTAGAACCTTTTTCGGTGACCTGTTTGATCAAATCCCAGGCAGGCATCGTCGTATCAAGAAAAACGCTTTCTTTAAAAAAGAATGGAGTGTAAGGCGGTTTGTCTTTAAAGCCCAGATCGTAGTCCTTGTGCATGAGTCTCACCTGTAAAACTGATCGTGTATTTTACCTTCATCTAGTAGCAGTATTTTTTTGGTAAGTACCTTTATACAAATTTAATACCAAAGTAGCCAGGTCAGATACCACGTCGTTATCATAAAATACCTGAAATGGCGGATTGTCGATCGTCGGGTTGAGCAAGCTTCTCAACAAAAGCACAATCTCGGGACTTTTGGCCGGCGGTGCCTTGCTTTTTCGCAAATACTAAATGGAGTGATTCAAATGTAAAAAAAATATAAACACTGACGTCGCAGACTTCTAGCTTCGAATTTACGATTTTAATCAGCTGCTGACCAGTGTGAAGTCCCTAAAAAGTGAAATATCACAGAAAAAAGCTTTTGTGTGCGTAAATCTTCTAAAAAGCTACTTAAATCAAGCAAAACAAACCCATAAGATCGCATAAAGGGTCCCAATCAATTGATCCTCATAAAAGGTAACCTTGTTGTTGTCATCATAGTGCACGACGAGCGAGCGCGATGGATCCGATTCGCAGTTCAGGTACAGCTTCCGGTAGTAGCAGAACTTTTGCTGGATTTGGATCGTTTTGTCACTAAAAATGTTGATCGTGAAGGAAAAAGAAACGCTTTAAAGCTCGCCGAGCACTTCTAAGGATGTCCTACAAAAAAATTGTGCCCGACATCTTCCCATAATAGCTTCTAAGTTTCAAATATCACTCACGCTGGCCAATCTCTATATCGCTGCATCAATCGTTCCTCATCTTTCGTGAGCTCCGTCTCCTTGATCATTTTCGACAGCTTTTCCCATGGCAAGTGGTCGAAAGCCGGATTTGGACGACCATCCGCGGGTCCATCAGACGCGCATCGACAGCTTGTTATGCCTAAAAATGACACGTTAGTAACTTTCTAGAATTCTGAATTTCTTTACAATTTCACTATTATTCGAAAAAAGCATGCCCGTCATTATCCTCAAACTCGATCTTTTGAGCAAAGTGTCGAGACATTTCATCGTTCACCAAAAACAATCTTTTTACAATTCTTTCAAACTTGTTCAAAATATTCACCGTTAGAAACATAAAAGCTCAACCTGTTACAAACTAAAAAATTCATTGTACCCGCACAAAAAGTTAACCGTAAATCAAAGAAACTTTTCACGTAAAAGCAATCACAATAAAGTTGGACTTAATTGCACCGATTTGAATCTCGAAATTTGTCAAAAAGATTTACACAATTTGATTCAGTTTGCTCGTTCGGCTCCTTGCACGGCAAGTCGATCGGCCATCTCATTCCCATAAACACCCGAGTGCGCCGGGACTTTCTCGTAAACAACCTGAAAAATCAGCAAAATGACGGGGTTTCATTCCCAAATACACCCATGCACAAAAAAATGTCACATCGTTTTTACAAAACTTTACGCCTAAATTTGACCTACTAAACGTGTTCCAAATTCTATGCCGTCAAAAGGTTTTAGATAGCAAAAAGCTTCTACTTTCTTGTGAAAAAGTGTTCAAGTTCCAGCAATTTGTTTAAATTTTTATTTTTCAATAAATACCGGAAGAACACCAAAAACGGGTGCACAAAAAAAATGTCACACATAAAATAAAAATTGATAAAAACAAAAATCTAATATTTTGTCGGGCCTCCCTTAGCTTGAATAACTGCCTGAATCCTCCGTGGCATCGAATCAGTCAAATCCTCCAAGATTTGAGGAGAAATTTTCCGCCATTCGCTTCGAATGAAGTACCAAAGCTCAACCTTGGTCGCAAATCGTTTGCCCTTCAGTTTACCCTTGATGTGTGACCACAAATGCTCGATTACGTTGAGATCTGGGCTGTAAGGTGGAGCAGCGACGAGCTTGACACGATTGTCAGCGAACCACCCGGTAAACGAGCCCTTCCACCGTTTGAAAGTCGGCCGACCCTTCCTATCAACATTTGGTGCTTGACACAGAGCGTATCCTGGTACAACAACCATCCTTGTCCCATATTCGTGGTCGCAAATGGAAGAAGATCATTCTCCAGGATCGTCTTGTACCGCTGGGCCTTCAAGGTTGAGTTGAGAAAGACGAGCGGACCTGGTGAACTTCTAGTCATCGCTCCTGAAAAAAAGCAAGACTAGTTGACATAAGGGAACAAGTCTTTTACCCCATAGCAAATCGACCGCCACCAAATTTGACTGTCGGCCGCAAGTATTTGATGTTATGGCGTTGTCCAACTGGTCCCGGATCAAGTGATTGCCATTAGGGTTGAAGAGATTGATCTTCGACCATCGGTGAAAATGACATTGGCCCAGCATTCGGCGTCCAACTTTGGTACTTTTTGCGAACTCGAGTCGGATCTTCCTGTGCTTGGCAACCATCAGAGGCTGCTTGGCGGCCCTTCTAGTTATCAATCCTGCTCGATCAAGCGCGGCTCACTGTCATTCGATTGATATCCTTGCCGAATTGTTGCTTGATGAGGCAAACACCATCCGACGCGTAAGATTCGGGTCCTTATTGTGCGCCAAAATCAAAGCCTTGTCTTCGCGTCGTGTAGTGGCTGGTGGCCGTCCACTTCCTGGTGTCCTGTGCAAATTCCAGTCGTTCTCGACTTCGCAGCAATGAGAAACGGTTCTTACATCACATTTGAACAGCTCGGCCACCTGTTTCCGCGGGATTCCTTGTTTCCTTGCTTCAACAATCTTTCTTTGTCTGGCGTTGAGAGCTGTGATTTTACCATTCTAAAATTAAAAAAATTAGCATAAAAGAGCAATCAAAAAAAGAAAACGGAAAAAAGCAGGTCAAGTAAAGTGACATTTTTTTGTGCACCCGTTTTTGGTGTTCTTCCGGTATTTATTGAAAAATAAAAATTTAAACAAATTGCTGGAACTTGAACACTTTTTGACAAGAAAGTAGAAGCTTTTTGCTATCTAAAACCTTTTGACAGCATGGAATTTGGAACACGTTTAGTAGGTCAAATTTAGGCGTAAAGTTTTGTAAAAACGATGTGACATTTTTTTTGTGCATGGGTGTAGCTGTTGTGCTAATATTTAAATATTTATCAACTTCCAAGGTCTTTTTAAAATTTAAAATAGATATTACCCGAATCGATTGCGTCAACTCGTCCAACCTCTTCATCAATTCGATGTTTTTCACTGGTTCCCCGGAGCCCGTTTTCCACCCTAAACCCAAAAATTGTTACTTTGACCATGTTTAAGTTAGTATTAACTTTTAAAACTTAACATTGAGCGTTAAAACTCACCATTCTTTCTCCAACCTTTCACCCATTTAGTCATAGAGTCGATCAGAAACTGTGAATCAGTGCGAACACAAAGCGCATCAAGACCATTCTTCATCGCCTAAATATGAATTAATTGATTACAATCTCGACAATACTTTTTCAAAACTTAAAAAATATACCTAAATACTTACAATTTCGATAGCTCTAATTACGGCCGTGACCTCTCCCCGATTGTTCGTCTGTTCACCAGTTATCGGTCCACTTTCATTATCTGGGTGATCATCGTTCCAGAAAACTCCATAACCAGCCTAGAAATATTAACAAGTTGATTGACAGGTTTTTACATGGAACTTACCAAAGCTTTTGATCGCTTGTGGTTGTTCGAGCAAGCGCCATCAGTGTAAACCACCACGAATCCGGCGGTGTTTCTTTCGTAGCTAAAAGTTTAACATTGCAAACTATCTTTGAAACTTTAACTTACCCATCCTCTGATTTCGTTGATGTCCGCCGCTCAGACTCCTCCACTTTCAACAACATTTCTTGAATTTTCCTTAAAGAATGCATTAATAAACAAAAAGGCAGCTCGAACTTTTTTTCCTTTTTGTCATTCTTTTGTACTTGTTTTTTCTTCAGGATGACTTTTGTACAAACTAAAAGCTTTATTGGAAAAATTATATCGACGAAAGCCACCTTTTAGCTGATCATGTTCTCGAATGAAACCAAGCGCTTCCATTTTAGTACCAAACTTCTTAAACCTAAAGAAAGCTTTCATGACTGTTGTTATTAAAAAATCTTACTTGGCATTTGCATAGCCATCAACTTGTTTCTTGCACTCGTCCCAAGATGAGTAGATGCCTAAAATCAAAATTTAAACATTTCTAGAAAAAAATGTTCAACTAACCAGTATTCCGTCCATTGGCCACCGCATAGAAGCTGAATCGAGGCGCCATTGCAAAAGAGTCGAGACGACAAAAACCTAAAAAGTCGTGTTTACAAATCGTAGGTTCCTTTAATCTTTTAAGGCTAATAAATACTAATTTTAAAAAATACCTGGCCTTCGAAAATCCGAAAATTTCCCTTGAAAAGCGATAGCCGATCTAGTGAGATCCTAGGTTTCGATTAAAATGGCGTAATTTTTGAGCACAAACCGAAAACTTGGCCCCTTGCCACAAAACACGTCTAAAAAGACTGGAAAGAGACGTCTGAAAATTTGAACTTATTATGTATTAATAAGTTACTTAAATGCATAGTCAACACTAAAGTACACTTTAAAAGTTCTTTTCAAACACGCATTTGAACTCATTCACCGCAAAGCATTCAAGTTTAAATAAAGATTTGCAAACAAAAGCAACTATCAAAAGTTTAAAGAACAAACTTGCAGCATTTATTTGTTATAAAAATACCCATGTAAAATACTTGTGCAAACACCCGAATCATAATAAATTAACAAAACACTCGAACGTTTAAAAAGATATGAAAAAGCATGTACAAAACAAGGCGATGAATAACACCCAAATAGAAGGAGATCGATCAAAAATTGAGCAAAAGCAAAAAAAATAAATACTTATTTTGGCTTAATGTTTTCGGAAATGAAATTAATTTGCTCGCTTTTTTGCTTTATTGATTTGTGCAGGAAGTCGATCGACCATCTCATTCCCATGAACACCCAAATGAGCAGGGACCTTCAAAATCAACCTGGAAAATAAGAAAATCAAACGTAAGACGGAAAAATTTTAAGTATCTCATTTGATTTTATCACACTCTAGTCAAATTATGTTGCTGTCAGACTTTCGCTACTGAAGTCTCAATAGCTAAAGTTGGTTGTTGTGATAATAATTTTTTTCTATTATTCAATAAAACTACCTAACTGTCGTAACCAAAATTCTTTTTAAGAGAAAAATATTACTGGAATCGTTCCCAACAACTCGTGCAATTTCTGCATCAATTCAATGTTCTTCACGAGTTCTCCGCTAGCTACTCTCTAACCTAAATCAAAACATTGATTAACATGCTTAAAGGGGGGGGGGGCTTTAAACCCAATACTTCCAAGAACAACACGAGGTCGAGTCAAGCTCTAGAATTCTTTAATTTTAAAAAGTCAGTAAATGCAAAGTTTACGGTCGCAAAAGCTTATAAACTAACACAATAACCTATTTCAACTAACCGAGATTATCAAGAGACAAAAAAATACCGAAATTTTCGCCGTCCAATACAGCTACTTCACTCCCATACGAGCGGCTCGCAAAAGTGACGATGGTCCGAACATCTGTAAATCTGTATTGTGCATAAGGTTTCACAAAACCATCACAAAAGGGATAATTAAAGCTCAAAGTTTCCATTACAATAGATAGTCCCCTCCCGCTCCAACTTTTCTGAATTCAAAAGTCCTTCTCACATTAATTACTGGAAGTCTGTAACGTTCTCATTGCTTGCAAAGGAACCAAACGGGTCAAAAATAATGCCAAAACCAATAGTTATTTACTTTGCAAAGTTTTATTCAAGAAAATTTGAAAAGCCCGTCCAGAACACCCAAATAACACGTATACACTTTAAAAAGGAGTAATTCGCAAACAAATCAATGAAAAGGTCAAGTAACACTGAAATTAGGTTCATGTGCAAAATCGGTCACAGAAACAAAAAAAGTGGGATCTACATAAATTGAGATCTAGGGTAAAAAAGGGCTTACAAAAGTTAATTTCATGACGAAAAAAAGAGGAATATTTTGAAGCTTTTCTTTGTGAAAAGTTATAAATATTGATGATAAATTAATCCAAGTTAAACATGGCAAAACTTTCAATAGACTAGGTATATGATGAAACTTCTAACAAGAAGATCAAAGGGTGTACAAAGATCAAAAAGGCACTTGATTAATCCTTGAGCTCGGCGAGTCGTTCTCGCATCCTTTCCATCTCAGAGTCGGCTGTCGTTCCCTCCATCTCCAGACCGCCCTTCACCGCTGATGGAGCCTTGCCCAGCTCGCCGGCTGTTACTTCCCAAAGGATTCGGTCAACTTCCTCCTGAAAGAAAGAAATGTGATGCTTAATAGAAACTTGATAATTACTTTTCTTGTTGAATAGAACTTAATGTAATACGTGACTTTTAAAACGACCCAACCATACCTGTGCTCTCTCCTCCATATCGGGCTCATCCATGGCGTCCATCGTGTCTTCAATCATCTCCTCGATGATGCCGAGTTTCATCATTTCTTCGCTCATCTCACGCATCGTTTTCATAATCTCGGGCACCTAAAATAGCGCAATGAGTCATTCTTTATTTGACCAATGACGAAGTGTTTCTTTGACTTTTTGTTTAGCTTATCAATTTTGAAATTTTGAATGGAACTTTGATGTAAATGCGCAAAAATTTTGGGATTTTAGCTTTTGTCACCTTTACTTTTTAGATTTAACATAAATTTTAGTAATAAAAAATTGTAGGTACAAACCTTGATTGCCATAAATAAAATAGCTTCCAACATTTTACAGGAAGTGTAGATAATGGGTAAGTGAGCTTATTGCAAATAAATATAGACAGGTAATAAATAATTAATGCCCAATCAGACTAGATCAGTTAAAACTTGAGTAATTTAGAAATCTCAAGTTTGACTAGATTTCCCAGGTGGTCCGATTTGTATGGGGGTGGGGGACAGGAAAAGTGAATGGCAGGTTCGACAAGCACTTTTCGCATTGAAAGGGATCTTTGAAAAGGGGGGTGGAGGGTTCGTCTCGAAAAAAAGGGCATGTGAAATCGGTGGGGTGATGGGTGAAAGGGGAAGAGGGGCAAAAAGAAAGGCACATGTTGCCATTCCGTCACGTTCACCGCGAGCCGAGTGACCCCCGCGATTGCACTCAACTCCACCCGAGAGGGCGAGGAAAGTACAAACAAAACATAGGCAAAAGCTCGTAAACAAGTTGAAATAGCTGTATGCCGCTTTTAAAAATTTGGAACGAAAAATTCTTTTCTGGATTAGAAATAGTTTAGAACTTTTGGGGTGAAGTATTTTTGGGGGTTTATTTACAGTCAAACCCCAATAGTAGGTAAATTACAATCATGCACTGACTTCAGTATTCATCCTACCAGGTTTAACTGTATATAAGTCTTATTAGATCACCTGGATCTTGCAAAAGTCAAACCGTTCAATGATCTCCCGATCAGTGAACAGTGTTCTATTCCATTTTCAGAGAGCTAAATATCAATTTTTCCTGTCGCAAAATTACTTGGCCGAGCAGTTTACACATTAAAAGTTCATAACCTGCACGTTTTTGCTGCTTATTTATTGTCGAAGCGGCCCTGAACACCTTTTGATCCATGGTCGAGATAAGGAAAGTAAATAGATAGAATGAAAATAGCAAACAATTATTGGAAATTTGGCGTGTCAATCATGACAACTGTGAGGTGTCATGGTGAGTTAAGCGAGAGAAAGAATTAGAACACCTCATTTAGAGCAGTTAATGACAGTTATCACTACAGTCATTGATAGCAACGCAAAGTTTAAAAAAATGGTTCTTTACAATTAATGATAACAAGCTTGCAATAGTTACCTTCACGTTTCGTAAATCATAAATACTATAAAAGTTCTTCAACAACTTACCTTCACCAGGTTCTGCATGCTCTTCATCACTTGCGTGCTCTTTTGCATTGCTCCCGCCATCCGCATCGTGGCCAGTTGTTCCTAAACAAAACACAGATTTGGCATATTCTGAATCGGATGCTTACCTGCATGCACATGACGACACTGTTGATTTCGGCCTTTGACTTATGAATCTTGCTGACGGCCTGAATTTAAAGTTAGCAAAGCTTTGAAAACGAACGCTACCTTTCGAGATTGAAGAAGCGACTTAGCCAAAATCACACAAACGTCCTTGTCTCCTTTTTTGGCGGCGGCCTTGATCTCGTTTTTGACCTAAAAAAGTTTTCTGTTTCTTTTAAACACTATTTAGGTAGCCGACAACTTGCCTTACCTTTTGTTCCTCACGTTGAATGCTGTAAACTTGACGGTCGAGCGTCCTCATCTCTTGTCGCATCTTTCTCTAAAACAAACGTTATATAAAATGGAATCAGCAAAGTTGTGGCATACATGCTTAACGATTATAGTTGCAGTACCAGCCATTAGTTTTTCCCAAGAAAACCAAAAAAAAAATCATGCCCAGGACCGGTGAGCAAGTCAAATTTATTGAAAAACCCTACCTGCAGCTCTCGTACTTGCTCCTTCGGGTCCTTTTTCTTTCCGAATAGTCCCATCATGCTGAAAATAGTCAGATTGTTACAATTTGTGCATAAAATCGGTAGAAAGGCGAATAAAATCCTTACAAACGCTTCATGATGGCTAACGAACGAAAAATGATAAAAAAAAGCAGGAAAACATTTCAAAACCTATAAAGGAAATTAAGATATTTAGCTAAAAGCTAAAATGCTAAATTTCAAAGGAATGATGTTTGGATGAGTATTTAAGCGAATGACGCGGTTTTCTCGCAAGTTTAGTCATTTTTAAACCTTTTTCTAAAGTGCGCTTAGATAAACGCGATTGATATGCCGGTGAATCATTTGGTTCATTTTGTGATCAGAGCTTCTCTTTGCACAGAAAGCGCGAGATAGAGCCGCTTTTAGGCGTCTCATGGAGGCAGAAAGGGGCATATTTTCGCGTTTCTACGTTTTTTAACCCCAAAGTTGTGCAAAAGCTTTAGTTTTAGCATTTAGAGCATAAAAAATTGCCAAAGTTGTCATATTTCTCTCAATTTTCACATCATCGTTGATCTATTTGAGATTTCAAAGCGATTTCACTAATGAAACATTTTTAAAGTGATGTCGCCCGATCCAACGACGACAAACAGCAGCAAAAACGGCGAAAAGGAGGCGCCGAAGAAGTTGAAGCCGTGTTGTGCGTGTCCAGGTAGTTTTTATCTGTAGAATATTTGTTTTTGTATTCTTTTACAAACATAATTCTTGGGCTAACTGTGTAATTTAGACACGAAACGCGTACGCGACGAGTGCATCATTCAAAATGGTGAGGAACACTGCGGGAAATTCATCGAGGCGCACAAACAGTGCATGCGAGACGCCGGATTCGACATCTAATTGAGGAAAGAGGATCGATTATTGGATTTCTACATTTTTGGATTAAACAAATCTTTACAAGCCTTCAATGCGGGATTCTAACGTTTTTTTTGTGAACAAACCTCTCAAAAATCTTCTACAAGTCTTCGGCTACTGGATTTCCACAATTTCTTCACGTTTTTCATCACCAAATCGATCAATGATAGAATTTTCCCGTTATTCGCTCAAAATTTGTCTTTGAAGAAAGTCTCTTTGGGAGATTTCTAGGTTTTCTTCAATCAACTCAACCATTGCTTTACGTAATTGATAGTCAGATGCTAGCTATTCATTGAACTTTGAATCCATTTCCTTTTTGGTAGGTTCCCCTTAAAATCAAGTAGTCAACTTATGGGTTTCACTTTGTTTAGGATTTTAGCCATTTTTGATTTAACTAGTCTTTTTCTCTACATCTCGAAATTGATCTTTTGGATCTCTTGGATTACAATAACACGATTTCTTTAATGTTTCAGTTATAGGCCAATTTGTTGCTAGATTTTATCGTGTAGTTGTTAGAATTTTTTTGAGCAATTTTGGATTTTTCATTTTTGTTACTCTTTGCTTGTTAAATGGTTTTTATGAATAAAATTTAGATAGGAAGATGGAAAGTGATGAAGCAACCGCTTCCGATGCTCAACCCAGCTCATCCAATCAAGATGAGCAACAAAAAGAGGCTGATTTGAAGTTATCACAGGTTTTTCTTTGATTAAATTGTGAGATTGTTTGCTGGCAGAAAGTTGAACCTGCATAAACAAATTTTTAAAAAGGCAAGTAAACGTTGCATTTTTAGGAATTTCTGCAACGTGCTGCCGGCTTGATTCGTGCTGCGAACGCTCTACCAAAACTTGGCGACAATTACGAGATATGCGCTTCATACGCTAAATACCGTGAACTGATGGAAATTTCCAGGAAACGCCTAGCTGTTTTGTGAGTTTTTGAATAAGCTTGGGCGTTCAAAACAACGTTAATATGCCAATCAAAGCAATTATTTTAGATTGTACAAAGTCTACTCGACGGCCGGTGTGAAAATTCGTCTTCCACGGCAGGACGATCATCACGAGTTTGTTGACCGAATCACTGATGCGAACGATATTATCATGGAAAGAGCGGTTAGTTTTTTCTAGTTTGTTTAAATGACTTTTTTAATTTAGGGCATCATGATGGACGAGATTAGCAAAGCGCACAGAAAGGAGATTGTTCAAGTGCCGAAAGCGATTTCACAAGTAAATACTTTTAGCAGATTTCTAAAACTAGATTCTTTAGGCTGAAAGCACGATACGAACGGTGCAAGGAGCAACAAGTTCAACAGAATCACCATCAATCTTCACGGTAATTTGGCAAAGTTGTCTTAAAATAACTGTATTCAGAAAGCGCCTCAATCGATTCGACCGCTGGACGTTACTCAAATGGCTAAGTTTCGGGCGCTTTCACGGCACAATGAAGTACTTGGAAAAGTGGTATGTGAATTGGAACATTGCAAGAAACAATTGTAAATAAAAAGACAAACTGTAAACTTTTCCGTTGAAAAACACAGGCAAACAATTATTGCAATTCAAGCTTTCTAGGCTCACATCAAGAAGCCGCAAAAAGAATTTGGATTCGAGAAGTACATCGACAACTCATCGGCGTCGTTTGTCAGCAAATTGACCACAAAACATCATCGATATCAGCCAAGCAAATCACACGGAGTGACGATACATGAAGAAGGCGATATGATTGTTAGAGAAGATAGGTTTGTATTTGAAGAAACAGTTATTTAGATACAAATTAGCAGATAAAGGTACTCCATGTTTAAAAATAACTAAACGTTACAAGATAAAACTATTTCAGAAGCTGGCTGAATGATGAGACAGACGAGCTGAATCCCTACAGCATCGAGCTTCAACATTTTACTGTGCCCGAGGATCAGCTGATTTCACGAGAGCCTTTGGTATGTTTATAATGAAAGTTTTCTAAAACACTAAGTGATAAGTTATTATTTAATTGTTTAACTTGCAGCCCTACAAACCCCTTGATGAAACCACGCTGACACTGGTGAACGATGTGGAAAAGTTGAGATCGCTTAAGGACACGTTGAATGCTTGCCAATCTTTCGCTGTTGATTTGGAGGTATGCAAACTTTCTTGCTTGTAAAGTCTCAAGTCTAGCATCACGATTATCGCTCGTTCATGGGGATCACATGTTTGATTCAAATCTCCACAAGGGACGCCGACTTTTTGATTGACCCATTTTTGTTATGGTCAGAGCTGCATATTTTGAACGAGCCGTTCTCGGATCCGAAGATTTTAAAGGTAAATTTAAAATAATCTTAAAGGTAACTTAAAGGTATTGGTGTTTTAGGTATTTCATGGAGCCGACAAGGATATCGTGTGGTTGCAGCGCGATTTTGGCATCTACGTGGTGAACATGTTTGACACAGGCCGCGCTGCGAGGCATTTGGGTCTACCAAAACATAGCTTACAAGTTTGTCTACAAAAAAAAACAGTCAAAGATACTAAGTTTGTTGTTGAGCTATATTTCATTTATTTAGTACCTTGTTGACTCGCTGTGTCAAGTACAACTCAACAAGGAATTCCAGACGACCGATTGGCGTGTTAGGTTTGAAAAACATTGGGGTTTATGTTATTCCTTTTATTTTTAGACCACTCCCCGAAAGAAATGATGCACTACGCCCGGGAGGACACTCACTATTTACTGTATTGCTATGATCTGCTACGGGAAAGACTTTTGCAGTGTGAGTGATTGTGGAAATCTCTCAATTAGTGATCTTTTTAGCTGGAAACGAAAGGACGAACAATTTACTGGAAGACGTTTACAGGGACTCCAAGGAGATTTGCAAGAAGGTGAACGATTTCAAGGGATCATGGTGATTGATTTGTTTAGGTCTTCGAAAAGCACCTCTTCGATCCCGAGGGTTTCACGCAGATCATCGCTTCAAAGAGGAATCTCAACAATAGGTGGGATTGAAATTAATCAGATTTAGTTCTACGAGAGTGCTCAAAATAATGCTAATTCATCATGTTCAGGCAAATATTCGCCCTGCGGGAGCTCTGGCGTTGGCGGGACACGACGGCGAGAAATCAAGACGAATCACTGGGCTACGTTCTACCATCACACATGATGATTCATATTGCTGAGGTGGGATAATTAAATTGAATTCAGGTTTAACTTACTGTAATGATCGATGTTTACAAGTGCTTTAGTCTCTTCCTCGTGACATGCAAGGAATCTTGGCGTGCTGCTCACCGGTACCGCACCCACTGAAAGAACATTTGTTGCTTATTCACAGGTTAGTCGTATTATTGGTTCAACTTATTGCTTTGAACTTTTAGGATTATCTTGGAGGCTCGAGATCGCGAGCTTGAGATGGTGGAAACGGCAAAAAAGGTGGTTGCCGAGGGCGAGACTTTGGCCACAATGCGAAGCCGACAGCAACAAAGCAACCAGATCGATGAGCTGAAAGGACGATTGTTGTAAGTTTAAGCTTTAAGAATTACATATCATTAGTTTTATTCGCAGTTTTAATAAAGCCATATTGGAAGGTTTTTAGCACCCACCTCAACATTCATTTTGCCGAGAAGGAGCATTCGCTCAAGAATCTTTCTCAAAAGGACGATATCAAAGTTGAGGAAGTAACGGTGATCAAATATTTTCATCTTTTAAACTTATTAGTGCTTTTAGGACAACGACATCATGGCCTCAATTCTGGAATCGGAGCTTTCAGCGAGAGTGCAACAAAAACTTATCAAGACATTCACTGATCCGCTCCCCGTCTATGAACTTGATAAAAAAGTAGGTGACTATAAATGAAACTGTAAACTTTTCAATTTTAGGCTCGTGCCTTGAAAGGAGCTCATCAATTGCTAAATAAATTGTCCGAGGGAGCGACACCGTATGAGTGCTACCAACTGGCGATCAAGGAACGGGATAAGAGATTGGTGGGCTTTATATGAAAGCTGCCCAGTTATTTAGCTTAAACTTAATTTTGACTTTTTAATCATCTTTTGTCTAGGAGGCTCAACAAGAAGCCGACAAACAGAAAGCACAAGATGCTCCAAAAGAGAAGAGGTTTGAGTTTTTTTGAGTTTTATTGAACTTGTAAATTTTCTAGATTCTCTCACCACGATCCAACCATCAATCGGAAAACTGTCGTTGAAGAGGTATACAAAGTTTGGTTTGCTTTTGAAAAGAGTGTAAACTTAGACTCCTGTTGTTAGCCTTGAAGAGCCGCTTGTGAAGCAAGAACCGGTGGAATCGGTGGAATCTAAAGAAAGAACACCTTTCAACGATCATCAAGTTTTGACGAAGAAGGCGTTAAAGAGGAAAATGCAACAGGTTTGTGGTTTTTGGAATATAGTGATAGTATTTCTATCAAATAGTAAACTATGGCTCTAAAAATTCCTTAAAGGATTATGAATACTTTTTAGGCTAAACAGAACGCGGACGTTCGACTCTCGGCACCGGCACCAAAGAGAATTACAAAAAACGAGCCCTCGACAGTGGATTTCAAGCCGGTTGACTACTCGGCATTGGCTCAGCAAACGTTTGGTGAGTATTTTGAAGTTTTGTTGGGCTTTTCATCGAGGATGGTGAAAAAGCAACATATTTACTTTTAGGAACATGCGATTTTGATATGCCTTCGGACAATGACTATGAATGGACTCCATTCAACCATGGAGTCTCAATAGGAGGTGGTGGTGGAAAGAAGAGAGGTGGACGTGAAAATTCGAGAGGCGGTGGACGAGGTAGGGAAAGGATTTTCTAAACTTTAAACTTAAATTTGAAGAACTTTTAAATGTCAATCGGTCATCATTCACAAATCAATTCGGTAATGAAGTGCTCTTTTAGGAAGAGGTGGTCATGGCCGTGGTGGACAAAGAGGAAATCAACGTGGTGGTCAATCTAATCGACGCGGTGGCGGTGGAAACAGAGGAGGAAGCAGTGGAAACAGAGGAGGAGGCAGTGGAAATCTTCTTCGTTAGTTCTTTTTGTTGGCTGGCGGTAAAGTTGGGTATCTTTTGATTTTCGCATGTTTTGCAAGTTTCATTTTGACGAAAATCTCAAGATCTTCAAATTTTCCCACTTGAAAGCCTCTCACTTTGCGCTAGTCGTTGTGCGCATTTTTCTTTGTTATTGTTGACATTTTTTTGTTGTTCTTGTTGAGATTTTTTGTTATTCATTTAGTGAATAAATATTTTATTAGTAAGTTTGAACGAGATTGGGACGAATTAGTTCAAGTGTTTGTAGAAAATGGAAAATTTCAAAAGCTGAGGCTAAAATTTCAATGTTGAGGGCTTCGAATTCAAAAATTTGGAACTGGTTTCATTTCTGTTTGTCTGTTTCATGTTTCAAAGGTGTTTCAACAAAATAATATTTAACATTTTTATGAGCAGATTTGTCAAAATCAAGATAAGAACTAAAAAATGGTTCTATTACATAAAGTTTTAAGATATTTCAAACAAAAATTCTAGCTTAGTCTAGTTTGCGGAAAAGAATTTTCAAGGTTAAACTGCTCAAATAAGTGAATTACCCATTGATCGATTGAGCTTTCAAGTTTGTTGCAGACAAAATGTTTAACTTTTAACATCGTTGATCAAAAATTCTAAAGTGTTGTTTGGATCTTTTCGCACTTTGAGATGCTGACGGTTGAAACTTTCAAAGATTGCATCAATGTACGAGTTTTCGTTCCGATTTGGTATCAAATCCATAGAAACAACGTGACTGGACACACTTCTTTTTGGGGTTTTGAGAGATTTTCTTTCAATTTGTGACAATTTGTGACTTAATTTAACCTAATTTTTCACTCCAAACTGACACTAGCCAACAAAATTCTGAAAGAAAGTGTGACGCTCGAAGGAATCAAATTCCATTTCAATGCAGCAGCTGCACCATGGCAAAATGGAGTGTCTGAAAGATTGGTCGCTTTATTCAAAAGAGTCTCCTACATTCACTAGGAAATTCAGCACTTTCCAGAACAAAATTTGAAACAATTTGTCTCGAAGCCGAAAGAATCGTGAATTGCCGACCGCATATCTACAGTACTGGACAATGAAATATGATATTTGAAAAACGATCGTCACTTTCGCGCGTCTGTAACTCCCTTGTCTTTGAGTTTAAACTATTAGTGTTATACTAATAGTTTAAACTAATATACATTTTCTGAAAGCTCTTTTCAAGGGCTACACAATGGTAATATTAATATTTAAAAATACGGTAAAGACAAGGGAGTTACAGACGCGCGAAAGTGACGACCTTTTTTCAAATATGATATTTCATTGTCCAGTAGTGTATGTGAGCGATTCAGACGACAAAGGTGAAGCAATAAGGCCAATTGATATTTTGATGCCAAAAGTTCGCTTCCCCAAGTTTGATTTTAATAGTATTCAAGATGAACATGGTGCAGTGACAGAAGCCTACACCTCAGTTCAGAAATTTCGAGAAAGATTTTGGAAAGTGTGGAGAGTGGGATACCTAAACGTGGCGCCTGTTTTTGAGAACAGTATTCAAAAGAAAGGAGCTTACAACAGTCGTCTTATGCCACAAGAAAATGAAGTTGTGTTAATAAAAGGGGATCAAGACAAAAAGCACTGGAAAATGGGACGAGTAATTTCATTGAAACACAGCCGAGATGGGAAAATTAGAAGTGTTATTTTAAAGCTACCCTCCGGAAGAGTGACGTCAAGACCTCTTCAATTGTTGGTTCCGTTTGAGGTACCAGAGAAAAGGAGAACGTCGGTGATGGGAATGATGAAAACATGGATGACCGCAATGCTGCTCATGACCTTGCTCGTGCCAGCAAACGGTGTCAGAACGTTCGATGAGGCAGCCAGTGATTGGCAAAACAAAAAGACAACTACATCGACAACCGTGTTTACAACAAGCTCAACAAGTACAGCAAAACCCACAATAGCTACTACAAGTAGATCGACAAGGGTAACAACACAGACTACGGAAACAACGAAGAAAACGATACCCACTTTCCCAGTGAACCCACGAGAAACAACAAAAGCCACGACAGTCGCACAAGCCCAAGAGGAATTGAGGAAAGAAAGAGGCGGAGCAAAAGAGTTTCCACAAATAACTAAGACAACTATCTCGACGACAAGAACAAGCACTCAAAGTATTACATCAAAAGACGATCACAAGCATCGGTATCCGGAAGATCACGTGCTAGATTTTGAAGAAATGGAAAATTTGTCAAGTGAAGAAAAACTAGTTGAAACGAAAGAAAAATTTCATGTCGATGAGATTCATCAAGCTGCTAAAGGAAAAGAGCACACCAAATCGGATATTCTATGTTCACAAGGAGGAGTAGTTTTGAAAGATAGTGAAGGTCCGGAAGAGGAGAAAAATGTTGAGAAAAAGAAAAGATACAAAGTATGTGCAAAATCAGCAATACTACAAGAAAGCTATTGTATTGAAGAATTAGTCCCGGCAAAGCACACAATGATTCCATTACCAGCGGAAGTGACAATGCACGACCCCGTAGTAAGATGGAAAAAGGTGGAGAATGGACAATTTGTGGTGCTCGAGAAAAAATGCAAAGCTTTTCCGTATTGCGAAAATATTAAATGTGTTTACTGCTGGGTAAATATAGTGAATCCTAAATGCAGCAGGAAGAGATTCGCATACGCATTGACGTCGTATGCAGGACTCGCTGTAATCCTTTTATGGATTTTGTCGATCTTGAGAAAGCCAATGGAAAATTGGAGCAAGCTCAAGGAATTTCTCAAGAAACGAAAAAGTCAAAAGAACTTTCAGCAGGAGAGATCGGAAGAGAGCTCTCCTGTCTGAAGCCCGATGGGGGCACCGCAAATTGTGATAATTGTCCACCATCTTTGCGAGCACCACAGGGAGGACTCTTTTCCTCGATCTCTTGGTGTCCTATGTGGTGCGAGCACCATCGGAAGAGAGCTTGAAAGAGAAAGCTCACAATTCCCTGGAAAAGGAGAATCTGGACTAGAAGAAATCCTCAAGAGATAGTTGAAATGGAAGAAGTACAAGGATCAAGATCGAAAACAGGATCAGTACGCTTTGGCACACCGATTTACATCGAGTCACCAAGGCCAAGTAGACTAGCACTCCTCGCTACAATAGTTACCCTGAGTTTGTTGGTGCAAGGCTTGGCTTTAGATGGTAGGTAGGTAAAGGTGGGTGGGGAAAGGGGGGGGGGAGGGGGGGGGAGAAGGGAGAGGAAAAGAGAAAGAGAGAGAGGAAAAAAAGTGAAGCATGCGACAAGACTTTTGCAATCACACACAAAGAAATGACGTGTAAAGAAAAGATTTCCCAGTTCTCCACACAATTGGACCTTTTTATCACTCCACCAACAAAGAAAGTTGCATTACAACTTGCATTCTGATAAACGAGGCAGTAATTGGAAGCTTGGTTTTTTCGGGTGAATATCTTTCGCAAAAATGTGTTCCGAGAAATTCTTGGAAGACCCCCAATGTGACCTTACAATCAGCCAGTGTCAAGGCTTGTCACAATAATGGGCTTTGCAAAGATGGGCGATGTGCAGCCGTCACGAAAAATACAATCGTGCCAGAATTGAGTTATGCATCACAATATCCGGGAGCCACCTACTGCACAACGAGTTGTGGAGGTTGGGGACGCTCATGCTGGTCACTCGGAGAAGGTTGCTTGTTCCATCGCACGTACGCTCAAGTCACCAACTCAACAGTCTTTGAAATCTTTGATTGTCAAATGTGGAAAGGAAAGACAGCAATAAAATACTCGCGGAGAAACCCAAAGAATTTGGAGAAGATAAAAATGGTGATGCTAAATGTCGGTGAGACACTCATGGAGACTAATGCGCTCGGAGATATGAGTGTGACTTTATTGGATGCAAAAGTGCAAAGTGGAAATTCCTATCAGCACGAGAAGTTTCTGAAAAGCGGTGAATCGCTAGCTATTGCTGAAAAGGACGCACCGGAACCAGCGTTGACATGAGACGCTTACAGAGAAAATTCTTTACAAAACGGTTTAGAACTAGCTTCTGGTCTCTGGCTAAGATCAATATGTAGCTTCTGGTCTCTAGCTAAGATCAATGTGTAGAGACGCACTGCACATATCACGAGAGATGCTCATGTCTACCTGATGAAGATAAAACCGTATGTGCATGTCAAGAACGGGATTTGGTTAAAGAAATAGAAAATCACAACAACGGTTTACCACATCTCGGAGAAGAATTTGAGCTAACAAAGTCCATCGATGGACTCCCAGTATTGAAAGGTTTTGATCTAGTGGCACATCTGAACGTCCAAGTTCAAGGGAGAAATCGATCTCAGATTAGTGGAAACATCGAAAGACTGTCGTGTAACGTGTAAGAGGTGATCTAAGAGGAAACGTGGGTGGTCTAAAAGGAAACGTTGTGGGTGGTCTAAGAGGAAACTTTGTGGGTGGTCTAAGAGGAAACGTTATGGGTGGTCTAAAAGGAAACGTTGTGGGTGGCCTAAAAGGAAACGTTGTGGGTGGCCTAAAAGGAAACGTTGTGGGTGGTTTAAGAGGAAACGTTGTGGGTGGCCTAAAAGGAAACGTTGTGGGTGGTCTAAGAGGAAACTTTGTGGGTGGCCCCGTGCCTTTCTCTTTTCCATCCATTCCCCACCCCGCATTCCCTTTTCACAAAACAACCTATAGTCACACAGTCAAAGCATAGTCGTATTCGGGTGACTTATTATCATGGAAAGAGCGGTTAGTTTTTTTTTTTAGTTTATTTAAATGACTTTTTAATCTAGGGCATCATGATGGACGAGATTAGCAAAGCGCACAGAAAGGAGATTGTTCAAGTGCCGAAAGCGATTTCATTGCCAATCTTTCGCTGTTGATTTGGAGGTATGCAAACTTTCTTGCTTGTAAAGTCTCAAGTCTAGCATCACGATTATCGCTCGTTCATGGGGATCACATGTTTGATTCAAATCTCCACAAGGGACGCCGACTTTTTGATCGACTTGATCGACCCATTTTTGTTATGGTCAGAGCTGCATATTTTGAACGAGCCGTTCTCGGATCCGAAGATTTTAAAGGTAAATTTAAAATAATCTTAAAGGTAACTTAAAGGTATTGGTGTTTTAGGTATTTCATGGAGCCGACAAGGATATCGTGTGGTTGCAGCGCGATTTTGGCATCTACGTGGTGAACATGTTTGACACAGGCCGCGCTGCGAGGCATTTGGGTCTACCAAAACATAGCTTACAAGTTTGTCTACAAAAAAAACAGTCAAAGATACTAAGTTTGTTGTTGAGCTATATTTCATTTATTTAGTACCTTGTTGACTCGCTGTGTCAAGTACAACTCAACAAGGAATTCCAGACGACCGATTGGCGTTTTAGCTTTGAAAAAGCTAGACCATTGACTCTCTAGAAATCGTCGATCGATGATTGATAGATGTGTCTTGCTTTCTTTTTCGCATTTATCCTTCAACCTCCTCGATCCATTATTTTCTTTTCATAACTCCAGAAATTAAAGTGCCAAAACTCTCACACTATTCAAACGAATCACTTATTTGTTAAATAATCCAATAATGTGGGGAAATTGTAAGCACCAAAGTTCCCCAAAAACGGGGAAAAAGGGGGGGGCATTTTTCTCTACAGTACTCATTTTTCTCTACGAAAGCAGACGGTGGGTGGCCTCGCTCTTATCTTTTTCCTCTTCGTCTTTCTGCCATTACATCCAACTTCTTTCTCGACAACTTTTCTCCTTTCCAATCGATTTTTCAGTTTATATTGTTTTTCTTGAGGATTACATTGAAAACTTCGATAAATCCACAACCGCAGCAAAACGAGCACGCTACATCTTGCAAATACCAAAACGAACACTCAAGGAGAACATTAAAAGACCGGAGCCGAGACTTCCAGAAAAACGAGCTTCCTTGCCATTGAAAATCATGCAAGTAAATCCACAACCGATGCAAGTTGCTCCGAGGAGAGCAACTTGCATAGCAGAAATTGATTCGATTATGGAATGTGAAAGAGAAATTGCTTCGATATTGGAATGTGCAAGAGAAATCGATTACTCAAAATACGCCCTTCCTATGCCACCCATGGAAACAAAACCAGATATAAACTGTGTGCAAGACTCGCGCACTACAAATTACGTCCTTTCTATGCCACCCATAGCTTCTGACACTAAGCCTGAACCAGCTTCCTCGCCGTCTACCCTACCGGCTTTCCCTTATGGATTTCCCACGGGAAGCTGCCTATACACAATGGCTTCAAGTAAGATTAATCTATGTGAGATTGTCAGAATAAAGAATAATTCGTAGTTTATACCTCATGTAGGCAAGAATCTTATCGGTAGATACCAAATTAAAGTCACATTTAGGCTTTGGTCGAGCTACGACGAACATGGTGGGGTCTGATGGCTCAAGGATTCCTGAAGAAAGTGGGTTTAATTGGAATAAATCTTTAAAACAAAAGAAATAAAGAATATTGATAAATCGTAAAAAGATATGACTTTTGAGTGAAGTGCTTTGGTTATAAAGAAAGCGAGCAAATGACTCTGCGGGATTTGGAAAAGTGTGAAAATGCATCGATATTTCGACCATTTCACATATTCTTTAGCGTATTTCAAAAAAAACATTAAGATGTCTTTTTCAGTGATCGCACGTCGGATTTGGAGCATTGGAACCTCTTGCAGTGTGTTTGTCGAGCCAATGTCGAAGCAAAGCTTCGTTCTGAAAAGTTATCTCTTGTTCCCAATTTAAAAATCAACAATAAATGACCTGCTTGGGCCCTTTCATTTCTTCTCCACAAATTCGACATCTCAGTATGCGAATAATTCGATGAATGGACTCATGGGTACATCCCTTTTCTTCTTTGGTCCAACAATTCATCGTTAAGCATAATTTGCAACAACGATCCTCTCCACTTCTGGAATATGCAAATCATGCAAGATAATGGCTTTGAAGTAGACTATCCGATTCTCAAAAGCTTTACAAATCTCGCTTTACCTTTCATGTTCGTTTTCGTGCGTTTGATGGGCCTCATTTGTCGCAAATTTCATACCACATCTGAAAGTTTTGTTATAGGTCACTTTAAACTGACTAGAAGTTAATTATTGAACGATTGAAAACTAACATCGCTGTGTGTGGGAGTTGTTTTGCGTGCACTGTGAAGAGATGCTTCTTCAAGCTCATTGACGAATTCAAACTTTTCTCCTGGCAATCCGGAAACGGACAACGAAGCTCAAAGCGCAGTGTATTCCTAAATTTAAATATTCTGAACTCCTACATTTACTTCGTTACTCACTTTGTATGTTCAAGCATATGTCGAACAAGATCTGGTTCTTCGTTCCCGGAAACCGGCTTATTACATTCCAAACAGAAAGATTTGTTTTTCGTTCGATGGATCATTTCGTGGAACATTTGGTCAGCATCCGTTTTTACTTCCATTTTACAAAGCTTAACATTTGGATGTAAACGTTAGTTTTTGCTTGTGTTTACCTCACAGCTTACTCTCACAACTTGTTGCGGTTGAGCCTGAGGATGCTTGGAAGGCAGAACCTGAAAATTCTGAAAATTAGATACCCGAGGAGCTTTATTTTGAAGGCAAGCTCCTTATTAACTCATACTCTTTAAATATGAACTCACTCACCCCATTTTCTGGCCTTCTGCTGGGCCCAGGCTGGAGAGGCATTCCCCGTAGTTGCATTTCACCGGATGGAATTCGTTCAGCATAGCCACCAATGGGTGTTGTTGGATAGGCGGCTCGAGGTTGTTGTTGTAGTGGATTATTTTGTGGATTTTCTAAAAAGCTTAAATTGTAGACTTTAAGCCTCAACACAATCTAAATTTAACATTTAAATCACATCCGCAAAGAGCAATACCTTTGTCCTTGTCCAAATCTTCTCGGCGAAGCCTCCGGTCAAATTCTGGCAACGCCAAGGGTTCATAAACGCGCTTTGGCTTCACTAAACCAAGATATTGTTTGACAACGATCAAACCTTAACCTGATGCCCGAGGCGGTTCCTGATGCCTCTTTGACAAATATGCAAAGACTTGTTGTTCATCTTCTTCGGCGCCAATTTCCGGGTCGTCCACGACCAGCGAAGGAGGTGACGATGAAATGGATGCCTCATTCTCAAAAAGTGGTGACGTTTTCCGGCTGCTTGTAGTGGTTTGTGGTGGTGGAAGGGGCCTCTTCACAGTTCGCAACGCTCCCCTTCTTGTTACCATTCCATTTCTTGGATCCTCGATAATGATCTCCTAAAGAAACTTGATCACTGATTGATTTTACACTAACAACCTCAGCTATGTCTTGATCCTCTTCATAGCCAGCAACCCGCATGCGTCCAGTTGGTTCATAAAGCTAAATCTGCTTTGTTAATGAACGTTCTTTTTGACGAACCTTTTTGGGTTCTTGTGTTAATATTTTTTCGAGCTTTAACATGCTCTTTCGGTGATTCTTCCGTCCGACCTCCGCTCAACTTAGTGTTAGATTATGATTTAGTATAGGCTGTTCGAGCCAACGGACCAGTTGAAAGTCAGTTTGAAATGCATGGTTCCTTTGATGTCCGAATCTATGATGAACCATATGATCGATCTGTACTGAATGACTATTGAAATATAGTCGATATTAAACCACCCCTAAATTTTTTTTAGTATGCTTACTTTCGGGTACTATCAGAATCCTCATTGAGCGTTAGTAATTTTCAAACTATTTTAGGGGCACTCAAGTAGTCAGGCCTCTTATGGTTCATGGTTACTGAAAGTTTTTTGATGTCAGATAACATCATCCACTATATGATCGATCCATAGTGAATTGTGAGGTGAAAGTTAATAGATTGATTATTAAGCGTTATTAATTGTCAATATATTTCAAGGCCTCTCAAATAGTCAGCCCTCCCTCCCCCAAAAAAGGCGGCTATTTGGGTTTGGGCTAGTGGGGATCCTTGCAAATTGATTTCTGTACTTTTATTGAATCGAGGCGACGGTGGAAATTGGAACATTTCAGCCCTATGATTCCCGTACTTTTATCGGATCAAAGAAGCTGTTCAAGTTGGGACATTTCAGCCCCATGATTACTTGTATTGGATCAGTAATTGGAACGGGTTGAGACCAAACCCAAATAACTCTTTTATTGGTTGGGTTCTACCCGACCAAAAGCCTTAGCCTTAAAACGCTTAGGCTTGAGGCTTCAGGTTTAGGATTAGGCTTAGGCTTAGGCTCAGGCTTAGGCTCAGGCTCAGGCTCAGACTTAGGCTTAGTGCGAAGGTTAGCGGCTAGCGCCTCGCACTAAGTCAGCATCTCAAAGTGCGAAAAGATCCAAACAACACTTTAGAAATTTTAATCAACGATGTTAAAAGTTAAACATTTTGTCTGAAAGCTAAATCGATCAATGGGTAATTCACTTATTTGAGCAGTTTAACCTTGAAAATTCTTTTCCGCAAACTAGACTAAGCTCGAATTTTTGTTTGAAATATCTTAAAACTTTATGTAATAGAACCATTTTTTAGTTCTTATCTTGATTTTGACAAATCTGCTCATAAAAATGTTAAATATTATTTTGTTGAAACACCTTTGAAACATGAAACAGACAAACAGAAATGAAAGCAGTTCCAAATTTTTGAATTCGAAGCCCTCTACATCGAAATTTTAGCCCCAGTTTTTAGGGTATTTTTTAGTAGTTTTGTCATTTACTTTTTTTTTTACGCTGAACTTGGAATTTATTTTTGTAAATAAAGTGTACATACCAAAAACACACCATAACGGTGTGTTTTCCTTTTGATCAACCGAATTTTTGGTCATATTCGATGAGGGAATCAAAAGGCTCCGTCAATGATATCAAAATTGGGTTGATCGAAAGGAAAAACCAGGGAAGAATTACTAGTTTTGACTGAAAATGGGTACCTTTCAGGAAATGAAATCACTTTAATAACATGATTTCTTACAATAAAACAGTCTAAGTATTGTTTTCATGGTCAACCACTTTTCCAAGCGACTCAAATCAATATTTGCACAGATGATTGGCTCATTTTTCTCATGTAAACACTAGAAATGGGTGAAAGTCCAAATTTCCAACTGAGCATTCTTTATTTATTTAGCTAGTCAATATGACGGGAAAACATTGCGAAAAGTTCATTTTCTCGATTCCATTTTGATTTTTGAAAGTTTTTCTCTTTAAAATCTTCACAAAGAAAGGTTCATTCCAGGTTTAATTTTGGAAATTCTTTTGGAAATTCACCTATTGAGGATTCAATTCTTTTGGAAGTTACCTATTGAAGCTTTTTCTTTTTTTGTTGATGAAGACACATCGACAATTCTTAGCCTTTGATCGGGCATTTGTTTCTCTTATTCATTTCTTTTGAACTTTTGAAACGAATACTGAATACTTGAGATCTGATCGATATTACTGATGCAACTCAATTTGAGCTCCGTGAGCTACTTTCTCACTCCAATAACTTAATCGCTTGATGTGTGCACCCATTTCAAGTTTACATTTGGAAATTCGATGTCACCAAATGAAGAACTCGGCTCACTTTAATGAACTTAATGAACACTGTAATGAAGCCGATTTGTGTTTCGAATAGAATCCTCAAATAAAACTCAATTTTCTGAATCTCCACTCCCGCATTCACATCTCTTAGATTAAAATTCAATTTCCTATCGAAAAATTTGTTCTTTTCATTGGAAAGAAATCCTTTCCGGAACACCAAAGAGTCACTTTTCTGAATCACGTTTGATTGGGTGTCAGGAAAAAAAAGGAGTTTCAAGATTTTTTGATCCTAAGATCAAAAAATCTTGAAACTTCTTTTTTTTCTACAATTCTACAATTCACGATTTCAAAGATTTGAACCTAGTAGGCTAAAACTTTTAGGCTCCAATAGTAGCCTAAAACTCTTAGCGTATTTTTGTATTTCGAATTTTTACAGTGAATTCATTAAAAGTTTGTGGGGGCCATCCATTCGCATAAAGTTGAAACTTAAATTCTCATAAAGTTCTCTAAAGTTCTCATAAAGTTCTCATAAAGATGAAACTTAAGTTTTACGGGGAAATTCGATTTTTGTTAGTCATTTTCCTTATGTTTTAAGATTGGGCGCTGTTTTTGTTTTTGTTTATTTTTAGAGGTAGTCTTTGATATTTTAGTCTTTGATGATGTTATATTAATGGTCTTATTTATGATAAGCTTACAATGATTGCTGTTTTTTAGGTGTAAATTTCACTTTTTCTCCTCTTCATTTTGCTGGTCTTTTAGAAGATGATCAAGTTGAAACTAGCTTTTTTTTGGTAGGGTAAGCAACTTGGCAGATTTACAGAGAAATTTAAATATCCCGTAAACAAGCTCAAAAGAAGTTTGTGCTTCTTTCATATGCTATTTCTTTCTTATAGGTGCTTTCTCTTTTGATGTCGATCAAATTGAAATTGTATTTATTTGCAGGGGAAACTAAAATACTGGATTCATTGAATTTTTGGGAGTTTTGGGGGGGAATGGTTCTGCAAAAGTTAGCTGCCTTCTCCTGATTAAGCAAAGCAGCACTTCTACGTCTACAAATCGGATTCCGTTTTCCCAACGGAAAAACCCATCACTCATTTTGAAACACAAAACTTTAAATCAAAATCGAAAGATTGAGTTTCAATCGGGACATCAAGGAACTTTATTAATGTTTGTTCGAGGTCTTCTCCTGGTTGAGAAAAGCAGCACGTTTCTTTGAGCTTTTCAAAACTTTAGAAACAAATGAGACTAGCTTATTTTACTTTGCCTG